ATTACGGATCCAAATGAAAGCCTATGATTATTTGGACATATATGCGCGACTCGCTATGTCATTTCACTCTTGTTAAAAAAACTGTCCTCCCTTCAGTACACGACTCAGGGTGACTTTTGTCCGATCGAATATCCACCCTTATACATAGAGTACACTTAACTCTATTCAACCCTATGTTTTGAGGCCTTCGTAAAAACGTACCGCCTTTCTGTAATTGGCATCCCCCTCTAGGTTTAGAGGTCGACTGGCAAAGCATTTGGCTACGGTATAATTAGAGGCATTAATTTAATAATTCCATCGTTTTAATTATACTCCGTGTTATTTAACCTACACCGACAAACCGATTCGACGGCTAATATTTTCTTTACTAATTTTAAATCGATCTCACGGATATACTAGCTTTTCATTAACGAAGGTGCAGTAAGCCTGCGAATGACATAAGTGCATTCTACAATGCATCGGCTATGTGCACTCTCTTTCGCTCTCTTTAAATCTTTCCGAAGCAATACGTATGGAACTTAGAAATTCTTTCTTGGATACTGGTGCGAAAAATAATTTAGCGTTATTCCCATAGAACCCAACCAAAATCACAAACCAATTGTCCCGCAGTAGCAATTCGGTGTACCGAGCAAAAATTGCAATGCGGTGTCCAAAGTCCTAACGTGCAGTCTCGTATCGGTGCAATATCCGTGAGTGCATTTTTCCGGATATCGGAGAGAGTCGACCAGTCTGCGTTCTGGTTCCTCGCTGGGAATCCCGATGTGCACACGGAAAGAAATTAGCGACGACTACAGAGAGAAAAGTACAGTGAAGTAGAGTGTCCACTGGCCAACGACTGAAGCACAGAACAGTATACAGGCCATTATGCTGCTGGGACGGAGAGCTGTACAAATGCTGCAATACTTTGGCAACGTTAACGGTATCGTACTGGCATGGCTTTTATGCACTCGTAGAAAGCTTCTCTGTATGACAGATACTATCGAAGTATTTTATCAATATTTTCTCCCCTATGATTTCCAGGGAGATTATACCTTGCCACATATACGTGTACTTAGAGTTTGTCTTGCTGTATTTAAGAGCGCGCCATATACTGTGTCAACTGTACCACGTTGCCAAGAGGGTGGAACGAGACTGGTAAAGCAGTATAGCTATACACGGTTAAAGAGGGGTGTTAGAGGGTGTACACGTAAACTTAATTGACAAGCACAGGTGGCGCTTAAACCTTACTACTACCCTACTTTATGCACTGAACTAGTACCAAGATACTGAACTGGCCGAAAACTTAATTCCTCATATTTACACTCGCTGTCTATTTGAAAAATTCATTTTCCACGTATATCGTACAGATGTCTCGAGAGAGACGTTTTAAAGACATTTTCATGACGTTGCACGCTAACAGGGTTATACTGCCTGTATGGTACAAGGATGCCTCGATGTCGCTCGTCAAGATGAAATTAACGATACTCTGGCAGGTAGTGATAGCGAAGGGCATCGAATGGGACGCCGTGCGCATGCGCGCGTAACGCAAGGACTGAGGGTGTCCTCAAAGTTAAGGAGGCAGGAGCGTGCCAGAGGCTCCAGGACTAGAAGATGTAGAGAAGAGAGAAAGTAAAGGTAGGAGAGGTACAGCGCAGCCGTAAATAGTCACTGTTTACTTTGCAGTAAAATGGAGCAGCAATACACGTCAGCAGCCACACACTTGATAGAGTGAATTGAGTTTGTGTGTATTTTGTAATAAATACGAATTTCCAGACACGTGGAAGATGCTCGTAAGACGAACGTACGCGTAAAGTGATCGGTGCAAATGAGAAAATTAAAAGGTGGTGTAGTAAAGAATTTAAGAAGAAAAAAAATCCCCCATACTAGACGGGTTACTTTATTATTGGTGCTAACTTGGGTCGTTCTGTGGAAAAGTGGACGCTGTAGCAGGGACTGGGGGCATTAAAACCAGTAATAAATCACTTGCAAGTGTTTGCTATACGGGCGCATCGGGTAGCGTTACCCTTCAATTAAATTAAAACGCAGACATTTATTGGCGATCGTATTCCCGAGAAAACCTTGTGTGGTACCGCGAAATGGAGCCAGGTGATACCAGACTCTGTACAAGAAGATTGTGCCGAGTAAGTGACTCTGTATGCGAATTCAGGAGTCTGCTGTAGTAAAGCAGAGAGGGAGGGGGGTGGATGAAAAAGCAGAGGAGTAGAACGGGTGGTTAGCAGATAGCGCAAAGTAAACGCATTAGAGAAACAATAAGACTGACTAAGTGCTCAGTAATTCAGCACATAGCGGGTACCGACCAATGAGTTACAATCATACATACATCATGTATGTGTATACACATATATATATCGATATATACGGAATAATCTCCTAAAGTTATTACGGACATTTTAGACGGGTCGTTTCACCAACTTCAAAGGACCAATTCCCATTTTCGATTTGCTCGAGGAAGGGTGCCTTGGTCGACGAGGTAACTGCAGGTCAAAGTTATTCCCAGACAACCCCCTTCCCCTCCCTCCGCCCTTCCACCGTCCCATGGCTGCATACTATGTTCATTCCAGATGCACGCAACCACAAGTATTGCACCATGCTGGTTCGATACTTACAAATTTCCTGGTGTATCTTCCCCGTGGACCATAAGGGAGATGGTTCAAGCCCAAAACAGAGGTTTTCGATCAACCCTCCTGATATATAGATATACGCGTGACCGTAGTGAGACAAAGTAAAAAAAGATACAGGTCTACTCGAAAATAAAGTACGTAGAGTATCACGATGATGGGGTCTACGTCCTGTCTTGCTTGAAGGGTCGGCAGCACCAGTCAGGATTGCTACTGGCTAAGGGTGTAAAGGATGTGTACGCGTGTTATTTCTGTATATATATGTACGGGTCTGTCAAAGGGCGGAGGTTCCTCGCGCAATCATCAATCTCTGCGCTTGTCCCAAGTGGCAGTAATTCAGTACCCTTGTCCCCCGTTTCCTTGTGAACTCGCGGCACTCTCGCTGCTAGCGACACTATGGAGTACGTATTAGGACAGACGTAGGTGAGCGTACACCGAGGTGACTATACACCGGGATACAAGGGTATTGAGGGGGGATGAAGAGAGGAGGGATGAAGTCACTAGTCTGACATTCCGATTTGGATAAATAGGAAGCCATACGTCACTGGTAAAATCGAAACCTGATTCGCATTGTCTTTATCGAATGGAGAAGTTGTGAAACGACGTAGCACCCTTCGACAGCCAACGTTCGCAGCGTTAGGACCGGTTCAATCGGCGGGATTCTCAACCCCTTTACGATCGTCAACCCTTCGACGCTGACTGCCTCCTTTCGCGACTTTGTCCCAGTCGAGGGAAGCTGACACTTCCTGCGGAATCCATGATCGGTTTGAGCTAGCACGCGCCGCATAGAAATTATTCCTGATCGCCGGTATAGGATGGGAACTGTGGATTATCCGACGTTCGGCCGACGGCAGGACGATAATTTTAATGAAGAAGAAGTCCCATTCATCCTGGCCTCGCGGCGGAAACTGACAAAACAGTTGATGTGCGATGATATAGTGAGAACTGTGAATGGGCAGCTACGGCTTTTCCGGAGAACTATGAGCGAGAATCTCGGCAAGGAATGACGTCGGTACGAGGGGTTTGCGGATTAGGGGTGACGGCGGGGTTGAGAGAGGCCGAGGTTTTCGGGAGCCAGTATAAGGAAAATGGGGCAGAAGGTGAGAGAGTTTGAGAAAAGTCTTTTGCGAAAAAGAGAAAACGGCGGGGAAAATGTCGGGGACGATTCTGATTTATCGCGGAGGGAAATCGAGCGGCGAAGTTGCGCTCCGACCGAGACGTCATTCGCCACGGCAGATATCTTTTCACCGACCTCCTGACCCTTCGCCCTTCGAGCTCCCTAATCCATTTACTGTACACCCTTATTCGGTCGAACGAAATTGTAAAAAAAAATACTATTTCATATAGAAGACCCTCTTACGTCCTCACATAGCCAATGGCATTGAACCTGTATTTGACCTAGGTCCGGCACGCACGTTGCGAAAAGAGGGATGAATTTTGGTTAAATAAAAAAATTGTTCTTTTCCCCTGACTCGTGATTCGGTGAATTATCCCTCTCGTTTATTTTACCCGTACATCGCACGGGAACCGGCAGTTGACCGTACTCTTCTCGGACAGGGGTGAGAAAAACGGACTCACCCCGACGGAGATGAGAAGAAAGAGCGCCGCGGTAAAAGCCAACAGAGTAGCAGGCCACTGGGATAGCCAGCTCGAGAAAACACGTCAGGTCAAAGCCCGGCGGGCTCTGATCGGGAACAATTACGTAGGTAATTAGTAATTAGCAAAAACAAGCTCGTATTTTAACTTAAAGCAGCCCAGTGCGTTATCGCCCACAAACAATATTTGTCTTTGATTACCTCTGTGGTATATTTACATGCATACCAGCCACGCTTTCTAGCTACTTTAATTTACACGGCGTTCTCACCCGTAACCCCTTATCAACCACTGGAGTTTCACCATTTAGCCAGACATCTTTACCTGGCATCCACTGAGCGAGCCCAGTGTACACTAATGTAAGCGGATCTGTCTAACCAGAATGGAGTTGATCAGTTGGAATTATTCATGGGGGAAGCAAAGAAATCTCTGATACGAACAAATAAGTCTGCTGTCACTTGGCGTTTGAGCTAAAACCTAGTCCGTCATATTATAATTGAAGGTTAGGTTGCCGTGGAGTGACAAGGTTAGCAGAGTGAAAGAGTCTTTAGGTGCGAAGGCCCTATACATATACTGTAGGGTACAGTCCTGTCTAATGATGTTTGTTACGAAACGGAAATGAAGTCTTAGCCAGGCAAAAATATATACACTATATTTCCTAAGCTCGTCAATCCAGAATGTGTAGTATAACACTATTTTTCTATTACACATTTATGGTAAAACACAGTAACAGAGAAAACACTACCAGAATACGAGCTTTGAACAATTTGAGCGATAACGTATAATCAATGATATGCGGCTATATAATAAAAGGAATTTAATATATATAAATACCGTTTAAGACAAATTACTGAATTTCGCTACGCACGCACCTTATATATAAAAATATATTAACATAGAGAATCGTGGTGACAATTTTTTGTATTTACGTGATCGAGATAACCAGCCGTAGCCATGAAGCTTCCAATATCCAGCACCTCGTGTGCTTCCAGTACGTAATTTGCTTCTAATAAAAATCCAAGCCGAATAAAATAGTCCTACGTTGACCACGGGACAATGGCCCAAATACCTAAGAGAGTGATGGAAAAACAAATCTAATAAAATAACGTCCTTACAAGCGATTTCTATAATTTTTACTATAAATACCTGCTGCTTCCGTATTCACTGCCTACAGGCAAATGGGAAGAGCAAGACTTATCCCTTCGCGAAGCTACGAAAATTTACAATAAGTGGGAGGACACGAAGGTGCTGGCATCTGGAATAAATTCGGCGCGCAAATATAATTGTCGCGCTACAAATGTTAAGGCGGTTATAGGACTGTCGCTCGGCGGCGGAGCGTGCAACGACAAGTACAGCTGGTGTCGACTAGAATAATACATTTCCCTGAGAATAATTACGTGTGATTTGTGATAGGCGCTCGGAGAAAAGTCAAGAGGTAGAAAAGAGGAGAGAAAAGGTGCAATTCTAGGAGCGTCCACAGAGAAATGCTACGGAATACAAGGCGAGCATCTAACGAGTCTTGACGCTTTACCGTTCGAATGATCGCTACTGTGCAATGGGTATTATTGTCCTTTTCTTTGGTACCTACGTTTCCTGTCTCCTCGGGGACATAGAAATGCACTTAGTCACGAGTAGCCACTAGTATATGTATGTACTCGCACTTAAAGTTTGACTTTATTGTGAATTCTACGTGTGTTAAATTAAGAAACTTTACTGGTTAATAGACTTTGACTAATTAGTGACTAAGTACCCGAATTTTCTAGGCTATGAGATTTCCATGGGATAGATTGAGACAGGATAGAATTCGATTATGGAATAAGATAGAAGATCGTATACGGGTAGGTCGCCCGTATAAGTGCCGTTAAATTAATAACCGTGTTATCTGTACTTAGGGAACGAAATATCATTCACGTACGGTAATGAATATCGCTTCGATTCCGCTTCTGCACATGCGGCTCCCGCATGCGGGAAATACAGAGTTTTGTCTCGCAACTCGCTTAACGCATTGGCTCGATGAGTATTAGGGGAGTTCGCGGGTGAATTCAAACCCCAAGAGAGATAGAGGGTAGATTCCCGAATTCAGAATCCACAATTGAACGTTCGGTGGGAGGACACAATGCCAGGGGTACGCACCCCTATCGCTGTCAGAATGCTCGACGGGACTGATAGCAGTCAATGTGCTAAATGCATTGGAATCCATTCAAACTGATTCATTTCGTACTCTGGTCTATCTCACCCTCTTCCTTCTAGCTCTGCTACCCTATTTCATTACTCGTGCTGTATTCGTAATTACGAGGCTCTGATGTCCGAGCGACACGACGTCCCGTCACAGGGTGGTTGTTACCTTCACTTCCTCCCCGTTAAATTTTACATTCCATACTATTGATATTCCTCTACTGATAACACATTCGGATTCACGTTTCTATTTTATCTGACGCTATTCACTTTTTAACTATTTTTTTTAACTATCCTTAGAACGCCAAGCACTCCAGTTGTCCCTGATGAATTTCGTTTCAACGCACAAACGCGTCATTTCCAACGAGTTTCTAGGATTCTCAGGGGGTCGTTTCTACATTGTTCACCTTTGACCTCTGATCAAAAAACATTTACAGACGGGTTTGTACAGTTTTATGATTCAAAATGACCGTAAAAAGTTACTTAATTTTACGATATAAATAAACTTTATCAAATGACTCACCATGTGTGGAGACCAATGATGAGGCCATGTTCTTGTGTCATGTGTGACAGAAACATTAGGCTGACTAGCCAAAAAGACAACACGTCTATCACTGCTTCCAGTACCAGAGCCAGTGGTAGCCAAAAGGGCAGCCCTAGCCCTAGATCCTCCTAAACTAAGGGTCGGCGAGGTATCCATTTTCTATCTGAAATCATTCCAAAGGTCACGTTTATTAGGGTTCGTCTGATGCCTTAAGGTCAAAGGGTAGGATGTTCATAAAGAGGTGAAATTTTTAATGATTATATCAGTTAATATAAAATCATCAAAGGGAGTCTATTTCAAGGGTTAGGAACGAGGTTAAGTCACGTGCTTTCTCGTATCGACTTCAAATTAATTATTTAACAAATATGCTTAACGTTATTATAATTACGTTAACACGAATTACACTGCAGCCCCTTAAGGTAGTAACTTAAGGTATAATAATTGTAACAGACGAACGTGACACTTACCCCTTAATTAAATCCCTACGCATCTGCACACCCAAGTTATTTCACTAATATACCTCTACGATAATCGTCTCTCGTTAATTTAGCTCCTTTCGCACTTGTTCTCCCTTATTATTATTATTCTTCTTCTTCTTCTTCTTCTTCTTCTTCTTCTTCTTCTATTTTACTTTTTCTTTTATTATTTCTTCAATTTTACTTTCCCTCTCTCCCTTTCGCACCCCTGTTTCTAATTTCTAACAGGAGAATCTCACGTTAACTAGTACACGACAGCTGAACCGCTACGCAGCCCACGACACTCCCGGAAATCTCAGCTCACAAGGACTTATCGTTAACCGCCCGAAATTCCATTTATACGCGTTTTATTCGCCAACCAATAAAGACCCAAGCAAGAAAAATTCTCCGCGAATTCATAAACAGCCACGACAGGTCAATCGATTATACATCAATATTTATATAAATTATTATTAGCATATACTAATAAGGTGTCACAGGGTCACTATAGGCAGACATGATTCTCTAGTAATTAACAATTTATCGTACACTTTACAACAGAAGCACACAGCTTTATTATTAATTGGGCGGGTGTAATTGTTATTATTATTATCGACGTCATACGATCATCATAAAAATACAGAATTAAAAAACTCACAGTTTCTATACATCATTAAGTACCAGACAGTATAGGAATTCTCGATTAACGATAACTTCAGTTCCCGATTTCAGACCACCTGAACATTTCTTCTTGCTTCACTCCCTTTCTTCGCCTGCTTTCTTTAAAATCTTTTCTTTTCATTAAATCCTTCCCCCCTCACTCCCTCACTTCCTGACCATCTAGGAGCCAGTCCGTTCGAGCTCATGCCCGGTGAACACTGTCGGTTTAAATCCGTTAGAAAATTAATCTCCAACCCCCGCACCCTACCTTCTCCCCTACAGAGCTTCAGGGAGTGCAGTAATTTTGATTACATTACAAATCCGATTTCGTTTCCTCGTCTTGGATTATCTTCAACGTATTACGATTACGCACCGATAACACGTACCTTCCCTATTGACGTTTCCTACTTTATAACGATGGACCAGAATATAAACAACCTAAACCCATTTTACTCCAAGCTTTTTTTCCTCCTTCCTTCTAACTCGATAAATCCCTCGATTCTCCTCTCCACGTTGAAAAATTTACATAATTGCAACCCGTAGATTACTTTCCGTTCTGGTGCACGCACGGTTCCGCAGTCGATCCGCGTACCCGTGTCGAAAGTATCATTTTCTCCGAGCGAGAAAATCTCCTTGTAAAATATATTAAATAGTACGCAGCACGCGATCCTGTCTGTAGCGACACGAGAAAATCCCAGCGTCCTTTTCTATATACCTTGCAACGAATAATTACGTAAGAGTACGTCAACGCGGTTTCATAGTCAACGGGAATCGTAGGTGCGACAACGTCAGCATCTCTGACATCCTCGCGATTCTCGATTTACGACAGTGTTTATGGACTCTCGTGCATTTTCTCATTTTTTTAAAAATATATTTATTCTATATCATTTGAAAACGGGATACGCGTCTTCTTCTCTGACCTTCGGCAGAGAAGCGTTTCGCCACCGAGCGTCGCCTCGTGGATCGCGCACGGTACTGAATGCCGTGGCAAACCGAACGCCGAGAGTTCGCAGGACTCGCGCGGCATCACGTGCTCGACTTGAACGCATGCGCCATTTTATACATACATTTCTCTTAGCTATCCTATGGCTTGCTTTTGTACCCCCCCTTTCTCTCTCTCGCTCACTCCTTTGTATCCTCTCTCATTCCCAATCGAAAGATTCTCCACCAGCCGGACTTTCGCCTCTCTAGCTTTCAAGCTATACATGAAACTCTCTTTAGACTATCCAACCGTCTGTCTGTTCATCTCCTTCTGTTTCCACTAGCGTGTCCCGTCTGCTTTGCTATAGCGATTCCTACTACGGTCTGTGCAGTACTATATCGCTACTACTGCTAGTACTAGATGCTATTGTCAAGATGCACACGGATGGGGTAATATTGCGCGAAACGGAGATTCTAACAAAAAATTATTGCTTAGTTGCGTGAAGTTCTCGGGATCGTATTACAAATTTTTTTCCCTCTTGTTTTTTTTTTCTTGTACAAAACAGAATAATGATTTACTGAATGGTTGATCGAAAGGGTTGCTCGAAGAAACAAGGGAGAAAAAGGATGATGGGGTTGTAGAATGGGAAGCGAAAAGGGCATGGTAATCGTAACTTAACCATTAGTGTGGCTAATGCCTTTATAACGATTTACCAGGTGTTTAGGACCCCGATGTAAAAAGTTCAGCCTTTGTAGGGTTGCTTGAACTTTCACTACCCCCAACAATTCACTGTACTATGGCTTTTCTTTTTTCTCTCTATCTCTCTCTGCTCAACGCTAACGAGCTTTAAATTATTTATTTACCCAGAGCATCGCGAAAGCTCCACATAAAGAAAGAACGAGCCCATCCACCTACCATTGTGGCTAATAATTATTTGTACCGAGCTAAATGGCTAAGTTTACTTTCAAGCTTGTATCATAGGGAGATAATGCTTAGTTACCTATGCAAGTATCTGTATACACAGTACTATAGTCGTATTAGGTAGCCTAAGCAGATTTCATAATTGCTTGCCTTCTTCCCTTCTAACCGGAAGTCGATTAAATAGCCCGTATATAAGTAATACAGCTACCCCTGACCAAGTCCATCGCAAAGCAACACGCAAGCAACAAATTACAGAACGACTGAAACGACGTCAGCCAACTTCGCCACGTATTTGTAACGCCTTGTATTCCCCCATCAATCCCATATCGTATTCCTCTTGAAACCTACCCCAAACATTCACCAGAAATGCCGCTTCTTCGATATCTCAAGGTGTCTGAATATCTCGACTTTGCGAAAGGTGATTCGGACCAACCGGAAACGGAAATACTTTTGAATCTGATCGTCGTATGTCTACGAGTCACTGTCGCTCCAACGATTTTGCCTCTGCGATTCTTCATTGATTGCCTTTATTGTCGAGAAATCCTTGCGCACTAAGGATCCTCAGACTGCACTAGCCCGCAGCATTGCCAACAATGACAGGAGGTACCAATAGTAAATAAAACATATCTATGGTATATCTAAGAATACATAAGAGATTCTTCTGTGTTCTTTGTACAACATACATGTATTTTCTGGAAATAAAGATGAAAGAGAATTGTATAGACGTGTACCATATATACTTGTGCAGCTATCGCTTGCGTCGTGTACGTTGAGGCGTAAGGAAATCGCTGGTACACACGCAGATTGAAAGAAGCGATATCGTGAGGTCTGCCATGTTCGCACGGAGGAGACGTGTCCTTAAATCTTTCTTAGGCTAATGCGCAACTACTTTCCTAGGCTTTTGGTCTAAGACCTCTTAAAGGTGCTGAATATTTGAAGACGTCTTGAGACAAGACGACCCTCCGGTAAACCCATCTCCGCTCACGGATGCCTTACCCATCTCACCTAGTCTATGATACTATATCTATATCTATATGTATACACATATATATATATATATATATATATATATATACACACAGGTATATGCAAACCACATCTCGCGTTTTGGATCTAGTCATATCGGTAGTAGAAGTAGTCAAGGTACTGGCAGACAGCACCCTTCGAGCGTAGCATAGCCCGTGCGCTCCTTCGAGCCGAAGTCTACCTTCATAATCCCATCCTAAGCCAAGACCTAAGACTTAAGACCCGTCCTCCTACTATTCGAGCGTAATTGATAGGGGACGTCCTAGAGATATGACTCAGTGTCCATCTTGGCTTATGAAATCGTTACATAGAGAATCGACCAGCGTTCGCTGGGCTACCCATATTCTCTCATTCTCTCATTCTACGTCTCTTCTTAATGGAAGTCTCTTAAATCAAGCTTGGTATGAAGCTAAGGGTGGTTATGGTTATTCTACGAATATGAGACCCCACGCGGTGTCTTATGTGCTATTACCGACGCGGGCATTCGAGGTAAAAAAATTTTTTCTCTCCTGGCATCGTTCACTTTGGGGTTATAATTATTTTTTTTATTCACAATGTTCTTTATGTGACTTTCAATTTATGAGGATTACATAGGAAGTTTGAATAAGAGTTTCAAAAGTATAACTTGGGTATTTATAATTATTAGACGTGAATTACGTGTTAATTGTTATAGGGGTCTAAAGTGGTTATCACTGATTATGGAATTATTGGTATACAAACGGTTCTGACAGTGGCGAACGATTGGTGCTTACAATAAAATAGACTGCGCAACCTAAGGGTACGTGACATATGTCCAAGAACAGTGGTGTGGTCGACGTCGAAATACGTCCTGAGTAGGATCCATGTGTTAAGGGGCGAGTTGTTGAAGTATCAGGTTCAACTGACCCTAATATACGGAAATAGGAGTCAACAGTGTTAGTAGGCTACTGGGCCCAAATAAGGCCTAGACTAGATCCACTGGTTTATAACACTTGGTATACCAAATTAATTGCGTAATTGTAAAATTTTTTAATTAAATCAGCTCAACAAAGATTCTTTATAAAATTATAAATTTGTGGGAAAATTGAGATAATCACGGAAAAAGTCATAACACATATGTATCAAAAATGTTTTTATTAATCCTAAAAATGAAAATGCCCAAAAATATTAAAGCTTAATTTTAGTTTAATTAGCATTATGAGTTAAAGTTAGAGTTTAATAGTATCTGATTAGCAGTAAGTGAGTTTATGGTCTTGACTAAGACTCCACTTCGTATATCCAGACTACGTCAATTAATTTTAGGTGAACGCATAGCATCCTCCATGTCTCATAAAAGCGTCGTTTTATTCGCAGACGCACAATTGAAATCTAATCCCCGTCATAAGTCCTCACCCATCCAAGAGTGTATATTACGGTTTGATATTTTATTAGGCTGAGGTAATAAGATCTTGCGCGACGATAAAACCGTCCGGCGTCTATCTTCGTAGTCAATCGAGACAATCAATAGGAAATTTTAAATGGGTAGGTGTGCCAAGAGACATTGAAAAATTATGAATGTAACAATTAGCAAGAAAAGCACTCGACTTGCTTAATTAAGAATACCGTATTGTGTGTATCGGTTACTTTCCGTAGGAGAGACACGCGATATCGCCTGCTGAGTATCGGCCTGTATCATTTTTCCATTCACTCGTCTCCTTTTGACCGTTGACAATCTGCGTAGCTAATTAAGAATTCTCAAATTCTATAAGGCAAAAATACATTTTCTTTAATGTCGCGTAATTTGATGAATTATCAAACCATGCTGATAACCAGACATTTTATAGGTTGTCCTTTGAACGTCGCATTATTACTAGCAAAAAGATTTTTGCCTGAAACTGAGCTTTTCTTGCTGATAGCCATAACGTACACACGTTCGTATCTATATATATACACCTATATCGTAGAACTAGAAGCGCAGGCAGGCTACCCGATAGGAAAAAAAGTGTCGCGCGAACGTTGCTGGTAACGTTGAAAATAACGCTACGCGACACCCATGTAAATTGCACGTAGTGGCTCCTGCTTGGAATTAGTAATAGCGCAATTATCGCGCTAATCACTAAATCATTGTGTGCATAATGAGCGGAATCATAATGAGACACGAATGATTTTTACAACTGGGTCGAAAGCACAGATACTGGTATACAATCGATATTGGATTTTCTAAATAGCCCGATACCCATAAATTTCCCAACAGACACTGTTATCTTCATTTTTTCATCGATATAAAGAGAGAATTCGTTCTGTAGCCAAAACTGGTATCAAAAAAGGGGACGAAAATAAAGAATTAAGAAAAACAAATAATACATAAAAGCTCGTCTGTCAAAGAGTTACAATGAATCGAGTATCTCATATGCGTTAACGCACTGAAGAATAATTTGTATTTTAGCAAAGATTCTCGATGGTCCAATGGCTAAAGCTGCTTCCTCGTTAAAGCCTAGCAAGCGCGATTAAAAAATACAAGAGGGAGCGGCTTGTGAATTAAAAGCGTCAGACCGCTAAAAGATCAAGAATTCCCCCGTGTTCTCTTCTCTTTTTGTCACTTTTTTTTTTCTCTTTTTCCGTAAGCTCAGAATTCTTATCCGTTCCACGTTTCACATGCCTGCACCGTTCGACCCCGCCACTATATTCCTATTCCCATATTTCTATTCCCGCTCCCTGAGTTTCTCGACTCCTTCGCCGTTTTCCTCTTCGTTCGTTACTGCCTTCTTCCTTCGTCTGCTCATTCCTTCTCGCGGCGAAAACACCCCACGCGCATTCTCATTCCGATTTTTCCTTCCCTTCTCATTCACGAATTGAAGAGGCTTTTATGGCAGGATACCGCTTTATGCCCAGGGTCCCTATTATTACGCGTGCATCACTGGATGGGTATATGCTCCGCAGCTTTTGTATTGTCAGGATAATGAAGCTAAGGCGAAGCCTTTTCGCCTTTTATGAAATAGTCGACCAGCAGCCGTCAAAGCATATCTAATCGTGGCTATTAGCATCTCATTGAGGAACTCAATAGAATAAAGTGATACATACGGATAATTCAGTAGATCAATTGTCTTGGATATACAGATTAATGATTATCGAT